TATGACAATCGTCCGTCTGAGTTCGATATGCGAGTGGCAAGGATGCAAGAAGAGAAATTCCGTCCTCCCCAAAGAGTCCCCAAGCGCTGGCAGGTCAAAGCACAAGGATTTGAAGAGAGATTACGTGTATCATACGTCGTACTTCATGCGGGCCTGATGTCAGCGTCAGTGTCAGTCGATAGAGAGAGGACGACGTGCATGCTTGTGTTCGTGTGCCTGTGGGCTGAGTGCTGGAGCGTGTTGGCGCAAGAAGCTGCCGGGAGAATTAAGCGACCTAAGGTATGTACAAACGCGTGCGGATCGACGTGTTATTGCGCATGGAGCCCAGCGCACACCGACAAATAGTCCAAAAAAGAGAGCCAAACGTGCATGACTTGTCCGTTGTCGGGAAGTCCCGAGAGCCGGAGTCGTAAGAGCAAACCGAAGAGACGTGCTGTATGTGGTCGCAGTTTCACAGAGGACGGAAGTATATTCACGTGCTCCCACAGAGAGAAGAAAGGTAAGTGGCTGTGTAATACAAAGAAGACGGAAGCAGTTATGGTTGACCCTGAAGGGTGACGAACGCGACTTTTTCGCCACTTTGGTTGTTAGTCACATACCCTTCATCTACTCACTCGTTCTTGCAATTCCTCTATCCTTTCCTTCAAATGGCAGATAAAATATTTACTCTTGCTGGACAGGGGCTCAAGCTCGATTCGCGTGCAGATGTAGAACCTCATGTCGAGAAGCTCAGGGCGATGGAGGACGTGGAGGAGATCCATCTGGGAGGGAATACTTTCGGTGTCGAGGCTTGTCAAGCTCTGGCAGAAGTGTTAGAAACGAAAAAGACGCTCAAGGTGTGTGCATTTTTCTTCTTGTTTATACCATTCTGACTCCCAACAGGTAGCAGATCTAGCAGACATCTTCACCAGTCGCCTGATCACCGAGATCCCCACATCCCTTTCTGCACTCTGCGACGCCCTCATCTCCCATCCCCAGCTGCACGAGATAAACCTCTCGGACAACGCCTTCGGTGGCCGTTCTGCCGAACCCATGGTCCGACTTCTCTCCCAAAACACAGCTATCTCCGTCCTGAAGCTGAATAACAATGGCTTGGGCCCTGCAGGTGGGGAAATCGTCGCCCGCGCCTTGCTGGCCAGCGCGGAGAAAAGCGCTGCTGCCTCCGAAACTAGCAATCTGAAGGTGGTCGTTTGCGGCCGGAATCGGCTCGAAGACTCCGCCAAGGTGTTCGCTGAAGCGTTTGCTAAGCACGGCACGCTCAGGGAAGTGACGATGCAAAACGACGGGATCCGCATGAGCGCAATGCTCGCTCTCGTCGAGGGACTCTCCCACTGCCCAGACCTGGAACTCCTCGACTTGGCAGATAACACCCTTACCGAAGTGACCGACTCTGGGGCGATTGACCTCGCCGGCCCGAGGCTCGTTGCGAAGGTCCTCCCTCGGTGGAAGAACCTACAAGTACTCAATCTCTCCGACTGCGTACTCAAACCCCGTGGGGGGGTGCTGATCGCCCAGTCCCTCGCTGGCGGCAGCAACCCGGGGCTGAGAGAGCTGAAATTCGAAAACTCGGAAATTGACCCCAAGACGTTTGGGCTTTTGGCCGAGGCCATCTCACGCCTCCCTGAGTTTACGCTGCTGGAGCTGAATGCCAATAGGGGGGATGCGGAGCACGAGACCCTACAGGCGATCAGGGAAGCGCTGAAAAAGCAGGGGAAGGAAGACGCACTGGGAGAACTGGACGAGATGGAGGAGATTGACGAGGAGGAGGAAGAGGAAGAATATGTAGAGGTGTTCCCAGAGGCGGAGGAGGCAGAGAAGGAAGAGGGAGAGGAAGTGGTGGTTGTGCAGAAGGAGCAGAAGGAGGAAGAGGAGGTACAGAAGGTTACGGAGGAGCTGGCGGAGGTCAAGCTGGATGGCGCTGTGCCCCCTGCTGCTGCTGCCCCAGTCGAAGTTTTCGCTGCCGTTGTCAACGTGCCCGCTACTGTCGAAACACCTGCTCCAGTCGAAGCACCCACTCCCGCTGCTGCAGAGTCCTCTGCTCCAGCACCGGTCGAAGTTCCTGCACCTGCTGCAGCAGAGCCCCAGACGACTCAGGAGACTGAAGCGTCCGCGGAGCCATCTGCCAACGGAGTCCCCGCTCCAGCGCCGGTCGAAGTTCCCGCTCCAGCAGCAGCGGTGGAAGCCGCCACCGCCCCTACCGCTTCCGAGACCCAGCAAAGTCAAGAGGCCTCCACACATGCGCCTGAGCCCTCAGTCCCAGCTCCCGAAGCAGCGGTCAAAGCCACTGCCGTCCAAGTCCCTGTCGAGACTGCCGCCGCCGCTGTCCCCCCCAAGACTACCGCCCCTCCCTCGTCCTTCAAGCCTATCGAAGCCCCTGCGGCCTCCGCACCTCCCTCGTCCTTCAAGCCTGTCGACGTCGCCATCCCGCCTGCAACGGAAAACGGCACTGCCACAACCTCGAATGCTCAGGAACCGGAGACGCCTGCGAAAGGCGGGAGCTGGCGCCAGAAGGGCGTGCGGAGGAGGAAAAGTATTCTGGGCGGACTGGGTGATTTGGGGGATAAGATCGTGGGCGTGTTTAGCCCCAAGAGGAGGGTAAGCAACGTCCCCAAGTGAGTGGCTGCACCTGGTTCGCTCTACCATACATGGCTTGATGTGGAATTTCTTGATTCATGGGTGGAGTGGCCCCTTTTTGTCTTCTTGTTGGTCGATGTGACACCCCGCGTAGTTCGGCGATATACCTGTTTTCTGCTGCACCTTCTTTGGACTTGAGCCAATATATAATTCATGCATTTTCAACCATGACCCAGGCGAAATTTGGAGGGTGTAGATGATGACTTTAGACAACGTATACAAATGCAGCAAGCAACTGATAGGTAAATGCGAAACCACTCATTCTGCTCCTCAGGCTTTCGGTACCGCTTCAATACCGCTTCACACTACAATACCGACCCCCTCCTGAACTGTGTCGAATCCTTGGTGGTCGTCTGCTGTCGTTCCCTCTGCCCCAAATCGAAGCTCCCTAGCGGATGCCAGTATTTCATCACCGGCGGAAGAGGGGTCGGCTTCCCAACGCTGCTCTTGAACTTGACCATCTGGCGCATCATATTATTCGCCGGAGTGGGTACGTCGTATTGCTGCCCAAGGCGGCAGAGATACCCGTTCATGTACTCGATCTCGGTGGGAATTTTCCCATTCTTGATGTCCTGCTGCATGCTGCTAAAGTTGCGTGAGGTGTGCCCGATTACGCGCATCGTCTCCTCCTCGAGCTTGGGGGAGGTTAGGTGTGCCATAGCTAGCGTGGCGGGGAGGTAGGAATCCCCAGATTCTGAGTGGGCGCGGAAAACCGCACTCGCTTCCTTGCAGATGGCGCGCAGGATACTATATGCTTCGGTCGACCCTAGTAGCTCGCCGTTCGTCACATTCATGATAGCGGTCAAGGGGTTGACGCAGCAGTTGACGCAGAGCTTGCGCAGGAGCTTGAGATGCATGTTGGGCATGGATTCCCAGTGCGGGTTGAGGTCTTTGAGTGAGAGGAGCGCGTGGATCGTTGCGTGCAAAGTTCGGGATTGTGGGTCTTCAGCGGGGTTGGTGGAGATATCTGCTAGCTGGAGGTGGGAGAATCCGCTCTTAAGTGAGGCTTCATAGTCTCTTCGCTTTTGTGGGTCGGGGACGATCCCGAACGAGAAGTCGCCCAACCCGGCATGGACGACATTGAGTGGTCCTCGTGCCCAGACTCCGTGTGATGTCGAAGCGAGGACGAAGTGTGGGCGTTTCTCCGGGTCTGGGAAGAGTCGTTCTACGAGCTGCTCGTACACGCCCATCCCGTTCTGGAGGAGTACAATGGTCGAGTTGCTCGACAGCCGAGGAACAAGCCGCTGCAGCGCCGACAAGGTCGAGGGGGCCTTGCAGGTGAGGATGAGGGATTCGATTGGGTGTGCCTGGCCCACTTCGGGCTGCCGCCACTTTGGCACACGTCGTTGCTTCATACCGGGGATCTCGAGCCCTGCATACGGATCTGACGGTGGCTCTCCTGTCTGCTTCAGCTGTCCCCGCCGGTCATACATCAAGCTCCACAACCGCTGACTCGAGACATCCCAGATCTCGGGCTCGAATGGCCCTGATACGTCGGTGATACCATCCCTTTCGACGCGGATGGAGTTTTCTCGTTCGTCGATGGTGCCTACGACTCTGCGCTTGCGGACTATAAGCGAGATGGGCGTTGTAGTTGGAAGGGCGCGACGGAGGTGGAATGCGAAGAGGGAGCCGATGGAGCCGATCCCGAGAACATGTATGCGCATGTCATCGGTGTGCAAGGTGGGGAAGTGGGAGCTGAAAATGGTGAGAAGGGACTTTTGTAGAAGTGAAAGTGCTCACAACGCAGGTTATAGAAATGCACGCCCTGATTATCGCGCTAATAGCAGAGGTTCGCGTGACCAGTCGAATGACAACAGATAGTAAATGCTAGTTGTTAGACCACAAATTGCAGAAATAAAGAGCAGATAGAGAGTGGGACCGCCAGATGCAAATGATATTTAAGCAGATAATAATGAGCGTGTAAATTATTGAGCGCTCGTCGGTGCCGTCCGCTCTCTGGGCGTTGAGTGGCGTAATAGGAAATTTCGCGACTGAATTCTACCGGAGTAAGAACAGATTGATCCCGCCAAATATTCTTTGACCGCACACCGTCAGTGAGTCGCATTCGCAGACCCTCACACGACTTTTTTTTACCTCCCATTTCCTCTTTTACATTTCTTGCACTGTCCGATACCCGATAACACCGCATGCCATCAACACCGCGAGCCCAGCGCTCGCCTCTAAAAGCCAAAGAGGCAAAGTCACCAAGGTTGCCCGCAAACAAGTCCCGAAAGGGCAAGGCGCGCGGAAAGGCACATGGGGAAAAGGAAGACGAAAACGCAGACGAAGAGCAGAGAGAATCGGCGGACATGACCATGGTCGGCGTCGAGGATACGGATGGCGCTGAGAAGGTGAAAGAGAAGAAGAATGTAAAAGGAAAGGCCGTAGAACGAGAAGGGAAGAAGTGGGACTGGGTGTCGTTACTTGATGCAAAGACCTCCGACCATCCTGCTGTTTTCACCAAGGATTCAAGGTTCGCATATTCCTCCACGGTTATTGTACATTGATCTAATGCGTATATAGGTTCTTTTTCTTACCGTCTGGTACATCCGTCAACATACACTCCGCCGCCACCGGCGATGTCGTCTCCACGCTCACTTTACCTACCCCAACACCAGGAAAAGCTAGCAAGCATCGTATCACCTCACTCGCATTAAACCCATCCAACGCCTTCCAGCTCCTGGTTTCCCATTTGGACGGCAGCATCCGCGTATGGGACTTTCTAGATGGGGTACTGCTCCGAACTGTTGAACTGGAGTCTGGGATCACGCACATGTGCGTGAGCGAAAAGTTGAAGAACCAAGTTCTGGTCGCTGTCAATGAAGTGGGGAAGAAGAAGGGTGATTCAGATGGTATGTCCGTTTCCGACTACTCAAATCGTTTCATGCTCAAAAACTTCCCAGCACCAGCAAAACCCCAATATGTCCTTTACCGTGTATCCCTCACCACCCAGGCCAAAACCTACATCGGCAAGCTCCCTCCCGCCTCTCACCTAGCGCTCTCTCAGAGCGCGCAGCATCTCGTCGCCAGCTCGGGAAGCACCTGCTACGTTTTCACTGTTCCCGCGGAAGGCAAGGCATCCGTGATGAAATGTCTCTCGACCGACCGGATCACCAGTCTGGCATTCCATCCCGAAGAAGAGTGGTTCGCAGCAGGTGACGAGATCGGGACGATCAAGTTTTGGTACTGCTCCGAATCAGCGACCGGCAATACTGCCAAGGGTCAAGAACGAGCATCATTGCCAAATGCCTCACATCTATGGCACGCACATGCTGTTCGCTCACTCTCATTTACGCCAAACGGCGCATACCTCCTCTCCGGTGGAGAAGAAGCCGTGATCGTCGCCTGGCAACTGCACTCAGGAAGAAAAGAATTCGTCCCGCGCGTTGGAGGTCCCATAAGGTGGCTGTGCGTGAAGAACCCCGTGCAAGGAGGGGAGGAAGAGTGGGTCGCTGGGCTAGCGGATCGGACGCTCGTATGGGTCAACGCGGGCAATTTGAAGGTCTCGCGAAGTGTTGCCCGAGTGAAACTGGACATTTCTGCTACTTCTTCCGAGGTACCCCCCGCTCTTCCCCTTGCGGTACATCCGGCGACAGGCAACCTCCTCCTCCCGTCCTCGCATCCCTCTTTCCTGCAGATTTACTCCCACCCCACCCGCTCCCTGCTTAGCGAACTCGAAGTTCATCCCTCGAACCGTGTCTCCAAACGCAATCCCGATGCACCCTCTTTGCCCGCAGCGCGCGTAGAACGGGTGTGCGTTTCTCCCCAGGGGAAATGGCTCGCTACTCTTGACGTACGCAGGGGAGGGGAGGGAGAGGGTATCGTGAGCCGACTCAAGGTCTGGCGCTGGGATGCCCGCAGGGGAGCTTGGGCGCTGAACACGAGGGTAGAGAGTCCATACGGTGTAGGGGAGGTAACTGGGCTTGCTTGGATGCCAGATCCCCAGGGCAGTAGCAGTAAGACTGAGCTTGGCTGCTTACTCGCCACAAGTGGCAAGGATGGGTTAGTCAAGACCTGGCGGACACGTGTGGAACGTGGGGAAGAAGGAGAGGAGGAGATCTCCTGGGTCAACCGATCTGCTTTCTCATATCGTGCTCATGTGCCCCACTGCTGTGCCTTTTCACCGGACGGCTCGCTGCTCGCTATCGGGCAAGGCCCGTGCGTGACGCTCTGGGACCCGGTGACGAATGTTATGCAGCGCGTGTTGGCCGGGCAGGGTGCGGCGATTGTTGAGCAGGTGGAGTTTGTGAGTAGTGAGGGGAGGTGGTTGGCTGTTCTTGAGCAGAGAGTGGAAGGGGTCGAAGGGAAGAGGAAGGTGCGGAGAGCGGTGTTGGTGTTATGGGATTTGCTGTCGTGTAAAAGTAAGCTGCCCGCTGATTTGCTTCGAGTAGATATTGATAATTACGCAGCGTCCTGGGAGTACGACCTTGGTGTAACCTCTGCACAGATCGTGCCTCAACCGAATAGCCCAACCTTTGTCGTCTTTTCAACTTCTCAAGCTCAGGACACTACCACGGACAGGTCCACCCGCGCAATCCTTTTCAACACCGCGTCCTCCCGTCCATTCCGGATACGAAAACTCTCCTTCAAGCTGCAAACCGCTGTCTCCTATCCCCTTCCTTCCGCTATCCCGGGCGAACCCCAATACTCATTCGTCGGCATCACCAAGGGGATGGACGTTGTTCTCTTTGGTGATTCTATCTCTGATTCTGACAAGCTTGCCAACACAGCGCAGAAACTGGATCCTTCCGCTCCGGCACCGCGCTCGCTCTTCCAAGACTACTTTGGCTTCTCTGCCCCAATCGAGCCTGCTCGGCCGCTTGACAGATCGGCAGTTGCGCTGGAAGCGGCTCTCAAGAAATACGATGACAGCTTGTTTGAAGCGCCAGCGTACACACTCCCTGCAATATCGAGCCTCTTCCAACCGTTTATGGATAGTCTCTTGAAGCGTCGTTCTCCTGAAGAGCAGCAGCCAGAGACAGTTGAAAACGCCCCTGCAGAGGTAGCTGTACCAGAGCCAGAGAGGAGAAGACCGGATGCTCCCCCGCGGGTGGTGGACCAAAAGGAATTCGAGACGTTTGTGGAGTTCTTCAAGGAGCTTTCTCATACCACTCGGGTTCAATCACCGTCTACGCCAGCTACGAATGGGCATGGCAGATTGACCCGATCGAAGGCGACAAACGGTGTCACACCCACGTCCACTCGTCGAACGACGGTGAAAGTGGTAGAAGACATATCGATGGATGTCGATCTGCCTACTCAGCCGGAGGTAGAGGCGACACCCGTTCCTGCGAGCGCAAATCCTAGAAAACGCGGGCGCCAGCCGTCCGAGTGATTGATCACATCTTCATCCCGTATGTTTGCATCCCTTACGTATTCTCCCCCATTTGTCGATATCATCGCACATTTTTGGTAATCATTGTAGACTACTAGTATTACATGGGTTGGTTCCAATGCAAAGTCAGTTTTCAGCTTTTTTTAAGAGGGCGAACAGGGTCCATGTGAAATCAAACACGACACGCTCTGGACGCGTCGCGTCGCACATACCAGTGAACGTGCTTCTTCCACTTCGACGACCACCTCTTCAGTTCCTGCGAAGGTATCCTCACGAGGATGGCGAAACGTGGAGTGGTCGAGATCGTCGACTCTGAGGAGGAGTCTCAGGCCGAGTCTTCGTCGCATCAGGTTCGTCGCCCCCTAAGTGCCTGTGACTCATCCCTTGCTAAACGCATACATGCAGGCTAAACGCGCACGTACAAATGGCTCGCAGCGGAATGGCCACGGATCTCAGCGCCAGAACCCACGAAAGCGACAGCAAGAGGTCGAAGAGGAAATGTCAGAAGGCGAAGCGGAGGGGGATGGTGACTACGAAGACATCTTCCCAAACGGCACTGATCGTCGCGGCAAGAAGAACACTAGGCTGACGGATGAACAACTGCAACAGATCAAAGAAGATAAGGAATTTGAGGAGGAGATGGAGCCGAAGATCCAAGATGCTATTTTTAATCGGCCGAAGAGGCAGGGGGTATGTTCGACACGTATATGCTATCACCGACTTGACTCATAAACAATAGGACATCGCCGAGATGGGCATTATCCAATCCCTCGAGCTCATTAACTTCATGTGCCATAAGAATCTGAAGTTCCATTTTGGACCTCAGATTAACTTCATCATTGGTCACAATGGCAGTATGTAATCGCTTGCTATCCCCCATGAAAGACGCTGACAAATACAGGCGGGAAGAGTGCTATTTTGACCGCTTTGACCGTGGCACTAGGCGGAAAGGCAATGGCGACGAGCCGCGCCAGCAGTCTAAAGACCTTGATCAAGGAGGGGGAACCGTACGTCAAGTTCAATGACCCCTCGCCCCCACAAGTCTTACCATGAGCAGAGCTGCCGAAGTCACTGTCGTGCTGAAAAACAAAGGACCAGAAGCATTCAATTACGACATCTATGGAGACTACATCAGCATAACACGAAGGCTTACGATGGAAGGCAGCACCTCGTATAAGATCAAGGGCGCCAAGTCTGACAAGACAATATCAAGCAAGCGCGACGAACTGACCGCTATCTGTGATCACATGAACATCCAAGTTGACAACCCAATGAACGTTCTCACGCAGGACACAGCTCGGCAATTCCTCAGCGCTTCTAAACCAAAGGATAAATACGCCGTAAGCCTTATCCATATTATTGCTTGTTTGGCTTGCTCACCATCCTTGCGTAGTTCTTCCTCCGCGGCACCCAACTGCTTCAGTTGAGCCTTGAATACGAGCTGATTCGAGAGAACAACAATCGTATGGGCCAAGTCATCGGCCAGAAGAAGGAAGTGATACCCGAACTGGAGAAGGAAGCCGACGAAGCTCGTAATCGCTTCCAGGAAGCTGAGAAGGCTCGTGATCAACGCAATCGGCTCGACACCTTGATGGAAGAAAAGGCTTGGTCTATTATTTTTGACAAAGAGAAGGTGAGTCTTATGAATCGGTCGGCAGGAATTAGCCCTGACCTTGTGGGCTTCCAGGAGGTGAAGAAACACAAAGAGCGTGTTGAGGGCGCAGAAAGGGTTCTCCCAAAACTGAGCACTGAATTCGAAACGGCAGATGTATGTGTAGTGGATGCTCTACTAGCCCTTCTCATCAATGCCTCAGGGAGAACTTGAGAGATTCAGTAAAGAGATCCTCCATATTGAAGAAGAGATACATCAGAAAGAAGAGGAGGTGGCCCCGCTAGAGGAAAAAAGAACACGTGTCCATGGTGCAGTCAGGAACAAAAAGCAGGAAATCATGCAGATCACGGTATGCACAACGTAGGAATACGGATCAGATAAGCTGAATGATGCTCTGCAGAACGACGAGAAGGAGATGAACGGGGAGAAGAAGCGGATTGACCAAGTCATTCTCGAATTGAAGCAGCAATTGGAAGAGGAGACTCGCAAATTGAGGGAAGATACGAGAGAGCAGCACGAAGCCGCGCAAGCGAGACTGCATGTTGTTAGGGAAAAACTCGAGGAAGCCAGAACAGTTGTTGCCGAACATGCGCGACATCACGACGAATTGCGGAACCAGCACCGTAAGACGAAGGAAGAGCTCAAGGAAGCTGAGCGTGAACGGGAAGACGTAAAGAAAGCGATCCAGGAGTCTCAAAATGTGATCACTCACATGCAGAAAACAAAGACGAATTCCATGCAGGGCTATGGCAATAAAATTCCAGAGCTCCTCGAACTCATTAAGCAAGAGAGCAATTGGTTCGGACAACCCCCACTTGGTCCGTTCGGCATGTATGTGGACGCTAAGCAGAATGCCGGCCAATTTGTTCCTGTACTGAAAGTCATCCTGGGTCATATGATGAGAGGATTCGTGCTCACAGACGCTCGCGATCGTACCAAGCTGAAAAGGCTATTGGATGAGACGAACAAGTCAGTTCACCCATCACGAATGCTGATATGCTTGCTGATGCAGGACAATAGCCGAGATACCCAGATAGTGATCTCTGAACGCGATATCTTCGAGTATGCTCATGCAGAGCCTCCGCCGGAGATTCTCACCTTCCTCCGCGTTCTTGATGTGTGTGCTCCCCACTGGTCATCATGTCGCATCCCCTCACAGTCCATCTAGTTCAAAGACGAGTGGGTAAAACGCATCTTCATCAACTCTCACAGAATTGAGACGACATTACTGTGCAAAAACCGCGCAGAGGCAGCATCGCTATTTAATCAGTATAGCATGATTGGCTCTGCATTTTGTGCGGATGGTCTCCAGTATCGCAAATACAAGTATGAGTGTTCTTTTAGCACCAGAACCTCTGCTGACACATCTCCCATAGCGATGGAGGTGAAATGACGACAAGGCTCAACGAAGTCCCCCGCGCTCCCGACCCCCGAGCATTTTTATTTCTGACAGGAAGCCCTGAACAGCGAATGAAGTGCGCCTCTCTTAGTTTCTATCCAGTGACGATATTAACCCATCCGCCAGCGACGCGAAGGAGAAATTGCATTCCGACGAAAGACGATATCAGGAAATTGTTCAACAACTTCAACCCCTCCAGAGAAACCTCACTCAGTTCGAGGCCGAACTCAAACGAATGCAGCGGACTGGCGAAGAGCTTGAAAGGGCCGTACGAGTCGCTCAGAATGAAGTTGAGAGTGTCGAGCTAGATATGCGGCAAGACGAGCCTGCTAATCTGGACTCTATTCAGCAGGCAATACGAGTGAGCCTCCTCTTACGTGGTTGTTTGTTTCTCCCTAAGGCATTGACCTTAGGAAACTGAGTTGGAGCGGCAAAATATCATAAGCCAGTTTACCACATTGGAGGAGCGCAGGACAGAGATAGACAATGAGGTCAAGCCCCTCCTGGCGGAGCAAGAGTCCCTCAAAGAGCAGATGGCAAAATATGAGATCCGTATTGCCGACCTCCAGGTCAGAATGCCATTCTGCCGAATCCGTCATACAAATCTCATTGCTCACAGACACACCTCGGAGATCTGGCCGCGAAGCGTGCGCAAGCCCAGAGCAACAGGAACCACTACGAAATAAGGTTACAAGAGGAGAATAAGAAAATTACTGACCTTAGAGGTGTGCTCCAGGCTTCAGAACAAGAATTGACGGTGCGTTGCGCCCTCTTGAACTTCAGCGCAATCTCCTCAGACCATAGTAAACAGAATTGGACGGCTCAAGTCACCGAAAAGTATAATCGAATTGAGAAGGCCCGGAAGACGGAGACTATCGAAAAAGAGATACACGGAATTGAACGCGCATTGAAAGAGAGAGCGGCTCGGTATGGTTTCATCCAACTCTGCCAAAGATTGTCGTTCACTTTGCACGCAGGGGTGGCGCCTCGGTGGACGAGATGGCTATCGAGCTTACCCGGACCAAGGCGACGTTGGATCAAGCCAAAAAGGATCTCAGTGACATGGAAAAGTTGCAGAAGGTGGATTCGATGTAATTTCCGTCCCTCAACGTGCTAATGTTTGTCGTAGTCATTAAGGCAAGCGTTGTATGCCCGCCAAGATAAATGGCATACATTCCGTCGCCATATCGCCATTCGCGCTAAGCTTGGATTCCAAAAATATCTCAACAAACGTGGATACTTCGGGAAGGTAATTCTCGCCGTCTCCCTTATACTGTTCTTTCTCAAACAACTCCATCAGCTCGATTTCAATCACGCTGTGAACACGCTCGAACTCAAGGTTCAGACTGAGGATGCAGTGGGCACGCAGAGGGCGCGAGAGAAGGATCCCAAATCCCTTTCCGGGGGAGAAAAGTCCTTCTCCACAATCTGCCTTCTCCTGTCACTTTGGGAAGCAATCAGCTGCCCGATACGATGCTTGGACGAGTTCGACGTATTCATGGATGCCGTGAATCGGCGTATATCCATGAGCATGTTGACGAGTACGGCAAAGGAAATGGCTGGTGTCCAATATGTGCTGATCACACCGCAAGTAAGTGATAAGAACCTGTGTTCTATTCCCTCCTGACGTCGTGCAGGACATGAGCAGCATCAAGCTCGGCCCCGAAGTACGAGTGCATAGGATGAATGACCCAGAGCGTGGACAAGGACAATTGAACTTCCACTAGTTTCCTCGCCATTCTTACTGTAGGTTAATATACGTATCTGACTTATCTGTAGTTCGTCGACTATCTGTCCAATGTGCAGATGAACCGCCTCCGTAAATGTATACCTTCTGTCATTTGTGGAGGCCGCGAAATGACACTTCAATCTCCCTAAATGGACTAGTGAGAACTCCAAGTTTGGTCGCAATTGTAACCTCGGGAACGAGGGAAAGGATCCGATTGGTCCAGCGTCACTCTTTTATGTCTATCTCATCATTTCTTTCTTTCTTCGCCAACAGCCCACACTATAACTATACGTCAGAGTATGTGCATTGCTCTGCGCGCTAGCAAGATATCTCATTGGCAGCATGGGTCACAACCCCGCTGGATTCACCGTTGAAGTTGATGCTCACAAGAAAGCCTTCAAGTTTTTGACTCGTGTGTCTCATTAACTGTTGCAGTTGCGTGGAGGAACAATCCGGAGAACGGATATGTCGCTATCCGAGGCGCCATTCCTCAGGAATCATTGAACTACTTTCTCGAGGATGTCTGGGTGCGCCTCGGCATGGATCCGAACAGCAAGACTACTTGGATCAGGGAAGACATTCATATGCCCGCCCATCGCCGTCGTAAGCGCATTCGAATTTGTTCGTAGATCTGGTCACACGCGGCTTGGAGATCAGGCCATATCGAGCAATTTGCGCCTAAAATTTGGGGTGCCATGTGTAAGCCCTATCGTTCCACCAAGCCTTTCTCTAACCCATCGATCAGGCGAATTGCTTGGTGGCGTCGATCGAATCGATTATAAGACCGACGGCTTCATCTGCAACCTTGGCAATATCCGAATGAAGTGATCGACCCTCACAACCTGTAAGGCTGTTGCGCTTCAGTCCAATCACGACTTGTGTTTTCTAACATCTCTCCCAGTGGCCCATAGCATGTGTAAGCTCCTTCTCGTCAAACCATCCCCTAACTCTCACGAGAGAATGCCACAGCGATGGGGATTGGTTTCGGCACTTTCTCGGTCAGTGACGTGCACTGCATTGTAAACTGCATCTATTGATAACATTCAGACTCCGAAACTCAGGCGCTCGAATGTCTCGTCCTAATCAGCGACATTGCGGGCCCAACATATATATGCCCTGATGGCACTGACAAAGTCGTGAAATGGTGTGTGAGCTGAACTCAATCTGGGGATTTGCTTGCTTACAAAAGATGCTTTTCAGGTTATATGAGCACCCTGAACGTTCATCGGACATGTCCGATCCCGAAGGGTCAGCAAATAAAGTCGTGCCTCGCCTCATCAAGGATTCCAGCAAATTTGTGACTGTCAGTGCTATATGGAAATATCAGATGTATTTTGCCCTAACATTCCCGCAGCTGACTGGAAGGACTGGAGATGTTTTTATGTGTCACCCTCCTACGGTAGGCAATGTCTGAATACTGCCTTCTGTTTTCATATTGAATTGGCTTAGCCCCATTCGCGTTCCATCAATCATCTCAGAAATTGCCGCTTCATTATTAATCCGTTTGTTTCGTGAAAACAGCCATTCAATCTCAACCGCTCGAATCCCGACGATTATGTGAGTGCCAGTCACGACTTCACCTTTGCAACTTTGACCTTCACATTGTAGTCCCTTGTGGAGTTGAAGACGCTGAAAGCGGATGATGTCGACTTCAAGATCACCCGCGAGCGTTTCCGTTTCATGCCCCGACCAAGGGTGGGAAGGATGCCCTGATAGATGAAGAGCTGCAGAGGCTCAAAGACCATTCGAAAGAGACGGGCAAGCCGTCATCTCACAGCACCTTATAAGTGGAGAAGCAACTGCCTGGCAGGAGGATTTCTGGAAACAAATGCTCTCTGAGCACAACACTGCGACGGCCGCCGCTGCATGAGAATGTAAGCACCTCAACGTTGACTAAATGAACCGGGTGTAACCTGAGACTTGTTGGATATGTAGTGTGGGGTTGTTACGGATATCAATGACAATTCGCCGCATGATCAGGAACAGATCCCTGAATGAACTACATGTTGCAGCCCCTGTATCGAGCCTCCGGACCTAGGGCTTCTCGGCATGATGACCCCCCACTCGTCCCCAAATACCGTCAAGCGGTAGGAATTGCAGCCCCTTTCGAACTTGAAATTGACTGATCTCCAGTTAGGACTCATCACAGATACAGGGGTAGGTCTCTCGTTAAATAAGGAGCAAAATCGCAATTAGCAGCTTGGTATGCATAATTGGTATACCATCCCCCGAAGACAGCAAGGGGGACCATTCCGACAGTCACTCACAGGAGGACCGGTCTCTTCCAGCATTCGGTCCTGCTCTAGGAGGTACGTCGTGTTGTGCCTCAACGAGAACATGCGTTTGCCGCAGCTTCCCTAAAACCGGTCTGACCACGGACAATAGCTTCTTTTCTTCTGCCTGAACCGCCGCTCGAGGCCTTCAATATGGGAAGGAGTCGAAATTTGAGGTGCATTCTTGAGCCGTTACAATCTGGACCGATCATCCTAACGGACCAAACTAAGAAGACCCTCCGTCCCTGTGTTGTCGCCGATAACCACCCTGCTTTCTGAATGCCTCCGACCATACAGCGACCGACCTGTGTCGTACCATATAAGCTCTGATCACCCTATCTTCTTTAAGTCTCGGTAAGCGTCCCCGTTGTTGCGCCCAGCTTTTACTTTCCCCCGTCCGATGGACCCTGTTGATGACTATGAGTTTCCTTATAAAAACAGCTTCTGACGCCCACCTGTCAAGCACAAGCTGTAGCTTTCTTCGATTCTTCGCTCTTCGCTGCCGAGATGGTCCGATTTTTCAGCATATTCAAATGCGCCGGTCAGATCGGCCATGCACAACAACTGCTCTTGTATGCTCTATGCATGGATTGGAAAGGGCTGACGTGGCCCATGGTCGCCGAAACCCGGTTATCAAGTCCACCAAGCCGGAAGCGAGAATCGGCCGTCTACTTCAGAGTCCTTTGATGTGGGAGTGTCCCGGCTCCGATGTTGGTCCTACTGTGCCCGCAGGCCCATTTTCCTTTCCGAGTCTTGCAGAGTCCATGATAAAACATACGCGATCAGTTGCCTTTTCCCCACCTCGTGCACATATCCTAGTCATCCCTACGCTCGCTGGCCGTTCAGCGAATACACCCGGGAGTTGACAAATCCAGCGTTGCTCAGAATGGCCAGAGTGGCCACAATGGCACCAACCTGCGAAGAACCAAGAAGACAAGGAATATCGGGTGCACGTCATCCCACGCGGAGGGGTTCTTCCCCCGAAAGGCCCGCCAGCCTAGCCTTGAGCGAACGAAAATCTTCACTCTCTATTCCCTGCACCTAAAGTTGACGCAAGGAGCACAAGGGTTGCTGGCTTGCGGGAAAGAAAGGGGTCGCCTTCGAGGTCCTCAGGGTCCGCGTCCTGATGGGTAGGATGTCCCACGCTGTCGATCCGTTGCCAGCTCATCGGCTGATCTGGCTCCTTGCGCTAGGCAAGGTTTGAACGTGGGCCACGTTCCCCAAACTCCCAAAGGAAACACATCGCGGGGAAAGGGTGCTGCGGATGAGCAGCAGCAGGCTGGGAGCGAGGAGGCGATGGCGTGAGAGCGATAGAACGATAGGAACTTAAGTTGATTATCCTTCCCGATGAGGAGTGTTACGAGAAACCGCGCTGGCGAAGTTTATCAAGCCGAGTTGTGTTGAAGTGTGGTTCGCGGATGATTCGTCGGAATGGGAAGCGTGTATGGCAAGACCCGCCCGCCCCGCGGGAATATCCCGCTATGCCACGTTTTAATCGCTTGATAGTCCAGAGGATGTGATCTAGCGGACATTGATGCTGATGCGATTGGTAAATGTTGGCCTTCTGCGCCGAGCAGGGCGGTCATCCCCAGAAAGTAGCAACATCGAAGAAGGTGCGCAGCATGAGCCGGCGGGAGCGCTGGCAGGTCTGCGTGGATCCAAGCGGGGGGGTCGCATGATCCCCCGATGTGCGACGATGGCTAAGCGTGTACACGATCCGGGAAAGGGGAGTAGGGGGGGGGAAGGCGTGGGGTCAACAGGTGGTGTTGGAACGTTGAGCGCCCGGGGGTATGGCATGTCTCGGGGGCTCGGGGGAAAGAGCCTCCACGCGTTGACGGGAGCCGAGCCGGCCTCTGCCGGGGCGGACAGAATTCCTCGTTCGGCGCGGAAGCTGGGAAGGAAACTGCAAGTATGCTTGACCGAGTGAGAGAGTGAGAGGCTGCATCAGCGAGGACGGGGGAACTGTACAGTGGCTGGCGGAATGGCGGTTTGCGACCGAGGCAGGTTCGATCCGAACAAATGGGAGAGATGCGTAAACCGTGCATGAGAAGCAGGATTTGCTGGCGGTTGCCCAGACCATCACGCCAGACCCCGACGATTGTGCCGTGTACATATTGTCCCTAGGGGGTTAAGGTGTTTTGGTGCACAGAGGGCGGAGTCGGGGATAGATAGGGGTTGCGAGGCGATGCGGCAGCCATATCATCTTGTGACGCTAAAGTACATCGTAAGATTGCTATCAGGGGGCATTAGAATGTCATAATGACAAGGCATCAGAGTGAGGGAGAAGGGGAATGTTACTGGAGAAATAGTAAAGCAAAATAAAGCTGTTACAAGCGAGGGATCCGGTGCCGGGCGGATCGGATAATTAGCGGTACAGGAGGAGGAGAAGGGGGAAATCAGTACTAGTCCGGGTGTGTAAGAGAATTGGACAGAAGGCGGACTTGGTCAGGGGCTCACGCCGCAGGAGAGAGGGACAAGGGCCGGGGAATTCCTTCGCAGCGCCCATACCTCTTTTCCTTCCCATCTGCGGGCATACAAAGCCCAGACCCTTGTGCCGTTCACGTCTCTCTCCTCCCTTCATCCCATCTCCACCTCCTCCTGTTCTCCCCTCTCTCCATCCATACACCTCCTCTTCACTCACAGCCCACATATTCCACTCCAACCCACACTTCCACTTCAACACTCTTCACTCATCCCCCCCTTGCACACTTGTCAACCAGTCCATTCACCCAGCACACAAACCAGCAAGCGAGATACCCGCAGCAAACAAGCGAATCGCATTCACGAATCCATCCCTCAAATCCTCGGCACTCGGACCCCTGCCACTGTTCAAGCGCAACTGTTTTTTTTTTCCCCATCCACCGAGGAACGGCAGCACACTCGAGCAATCAACACATTATTGTCTCACTTTGGGAGCGATTACTATTTTCTGTCTGTCTCTGAATTTAAAGTAGCGCCCGAAGGAATATTTGCACCCGAAGCGCATACATCGTCCCTCCCTTGTGGACCCCCGTGTGTCGGCCATCGAACGCCCCCCGAAAACCGCTCCCGTGCGACCCCCCGTTTGCCCCTCACCGGACAACCGACCAACAGCAAGCAGCAGCCCTGGCGTTCAAGCGTTCATCCCGCTCACTCTCCATCTCCACCCCGCCCACCCCGCCCTACGACCTCGCTGCACTCGACTTCGACGACATCGTCAACTTCTCCGCAATGGACACCGCAGGTCAACACGACAGCACAGGGCAGGGCGCCTCTCCCGCTCCCTATCCCCCGCATACCGACTTTACATTCCTCACACCTCAAGGCACATTCCAGCCCTATGCCGTAGGGCTCGAGTTCCCAACCGCCCATGTGGGGTATGACCATCTCTCCGGTCATCCTGGTGGTGAGTGCATACATCCTCCCTCTCCGATTTCCTCATTCTCGTTTTGAACGTTTCCCACTCTACTGTCCTCTTTACTTCGCTTATCACTCACTTCCACTTGCTTCGAACACGTGTTGATCCAATCGATTCCGATTGCTTGACTCACTCTGCTTCGTTCGCCTCGGCATCCACATTGCACATTGCTGACACGCCTCCTCTGCACTTATAGCGGACGATCCCCCTACTTACCAGGCTGTCCCCTGGCCGGCCATGCACACGCCTATGCAGCACCCTACCTCGTTCCCGCCTCCGTTGTCCATATCTCCAAATGCTCTCACTCCCCCGGGTTCCGGTTCAGCCTCGGGCCGCTCCTCCCATGGGGAGGCTAGCGCTTCCCCCGGCGCATCCCCGGCGAGCACCTCGACCCCTCCGGCCATCGGCAACCTCAGCTTGTCTCACAATGTTGGTCCCGCGCACTCTCATATGCACGCCCATCATCGTGCTCCCCTCCACCGCTCCTCATCTCAACAGAGCGGTAACGACTCTAGTGGATCGCACGGCTCGACCGGGTCGATGCGTTACGTTGTTACTGGCAACGAGAGTTCCGGTAATGAGAGTCGTGGCCACAAGCGCCGTGCTACCAAGCATGCCGACGAGGACAGTGATGACGATGATGACGATGACTTACCCCCGCGTCGCAGCAGTGGAGGGAACAAGCGGGATGCGGAAGCGTAGGTTCATCCATCCCTCCTAGCGCGCATATACTTACCGTATCTCGCAGTGACTATAACAGGCGGCGTGAGGAAATTCGTAAGCAACGGATCGAGAGCGAGCAGCGTAGGCGGGATGAGCTCCGTGAGGGCTACCGCAGGCTCAAGGACGTGCTGCCCGTCTCAAGTCAAAAGTCGAGCAAGGTCTCCCTGCTCGACCGCGCGACGCAGCATATCAAGCAAATTGAGGCAGCGAACGAGACCTACCAGATAAAGCTTTCCCAGGCTGAGGCTGAGCTGGCTAGGCTGCGGCAGTGTGTAGCGTTTTTCGACTTGCCGGAAATTGTGCTCACTGTGATCATGATAGGATTAACGAGACGCTGATGATGAGGTCGGTCGATGTTGGACGGCACGCTCCCGGTGGTTACGCCGCCTGAAAACGTCATCGACGAATCGACGACATGGTTTCCACTTCTCTGGGCTGTACGATTGGACTAAACATCGTGTTTTAATGCTTCTCCTTCTCTCTTGGCAAGTAATGGGCTCCTTCATTCTCCCCTCACTTCGACGACAACCACGACGATAGTTGACGATAGCCGGCTAGCCCGACTCCCTGACGCTGGTTTTTTGGATCCCCTTGCTGCCCCGGTGGCAGTTTTGGTAATCAGCACGACTCCCTCCTGGACGACATCTCATACATCTCCCTGGTTACACCATCGCTTGGGCATTCCATCTTCATGCTCACTCGACTAGAGCTCATCCACCATGACATTGCCTCACCTGGTAGGCAGACTGTGCAAGGCGCAGCCTGTACCACGCCGGCCGAGGCGACCGAAGACTGCAGCCCTCGGGCCAGCTTCACCTTCCCTCCGACTAATTTGGACGAACGCCGACCGGTGCTTCTCCGCTCGCATGCGACCGTTTTGACGATCCCGGTTTTTGCCTTCTTCCAAGTCGTGGAACATGGTTCGGATGAAGATACGCTCTGTTGATAGCATCGTGGATGACGATGCCCTCGCACCGCTAGGTGTGCGAGATGCCGCCGGTCAGGTCGAGCGGCTGAAAGCGGGAACCAATCCCGAGGCCACAGTGGCAGGCGTCGATCGCCTACGCTCTGATCCGCATCGAGCTCAACATGTCGAGACACGGTCCCGCGCACTCTCTCATCACGGAGACCGGTTGATCCCACTCCGCGTGCGGAGTGGCGATTGTCTCCCTGTTTTGCGCTCTGCCGATCCAGCACCACTGCCTGTTCTCACACGCATCTAGATGATGCACACACCCTTTTTGGCACCCCACTGAGTGGGGCGACTGTCTTGATCCCTCATTTTCGGGACCGTCGACGCCGTTTCCCGTTGCCAGCACACTCACTTCTCGATCCCGCCACGTCGTCAACCACCTCTTCAAAGTTCTCGTCAAGTCTTTTCACGAAATTCATGTGACATAGCGATTATTGGCTCTTGACCGCTTTCTACTACGAATCCCCACGCTCCTGACCTCACTCGCAATCCTGCAACACTATCAACCCGCACTCGACCCTTCCTCCGTTTACACATCTCTCGAAAAGTACTGTGTTGTTTTCCTTTTCTTTCCTCCTCTTGCTCATTCTTTGAGTCCCTCATCACACCACACACTCTGTCTCGCGTGCCAACATGTGCCACAAGAACCATTTCCTTCCTTGGTTGTATCTTTGTAGCTTGGTCCGAAGACAGGGAGATGGGTACGACCGATGAATAATCATCGGAGTAGAGGAGGCGGTGGATGCTCCTCCGTACATATAGTACACTAGTTGACGATGTGGTTTACGATTCCGCAATGAAATCTGATGACCCTAGACTGGTTGAAGTCAGATAGCTATAGAGAATTATCATAACCGGAATGTGGAGCGGAAACCCTTTGGATGCGATTTGTCCCCATTTGCCTCCGCCGCACAAGCCATGGTCCGTGCACGTTGAAAACACTTATATACCCCGCCTCTCACTCGGTTGTCTCTTCATACTTACCTTGGGGGAAGGCTCCCGCTTCATGACCGGGGCGTTAGCGGTTTGGGCTCGACATTGCACGGCGACGCATGGTCCCATTGAGCCGATTCCGTTTGTTCTCTCTTACAGGGGGAGCACTCCCTGAATATTTTCCTGCCTGCTTCTCCCACTCTGGGAGTTGCGGGCCCCAAATCTTTTTTGGGACCCCGCGCGGTTGTTTAGGGCCGGCTCTTTTTAACTCTAAATCATTATATCACCCAAACACTATTCCGTGCTATTATTTCTAATAGTAATGAAATTCATTAATAATAGTTCATCACTTCATCTTCACAAATGAACAAATATCGCAAGAACATTTAACGCAACGGGTCACATAAACGGGTCTCATGCAGATTATTTGGTGTCGCACATATTCCAATTCGCATATCCTCAAGGTAATGACATGATCATTGAGCAACTACTATCAGGCATCGAGGCTTTCGCCATTTCATTCCATGGCTATCATCATCATATCCTCTTGTCAACACTCTTCCTCGTTGGCCCCGATCGCATTGCGGAGTCCATTTGAGCCGCTCCAGTTAACGCGGCACCCTCTCCTCTCCCTCGCCCTCTATATCGTGTGCATAAGAGGTGGGGAGAACGGAGGACACGGTCCTGATATTGGACGAGAAGTTAATGATTTTGACAAGACGGCGGCAGTCCTTTAGTGGTCAGACCACTTGACGTTGAACGCAGAAATTGAGAAGTGAGGAAACCGGAGCAAGGAAAGTGTAATCGCAGGATATTTGAACAATGAGAAGACCTTGAACTTCGTAAACACAAGCAACGGTCATTTGGACGATGGGGGATTAGTGAAGTGGATGGGGGCTGGTGTGAGTGGTTCGTCCACGAGACGATTGATCTTTGATGGCTGAAATGGGCGCCAATTGGGCGTGGTTTCTTGTACACGGCATGAGAATATTTGCAAAGGGCCAGGGCTTGATTTAACGTGGTGCCGATGCGATCGTTGCTCGCTCGGAGGGGGGGTGGTAGGTCAGGGAATTGAAGTTTGAATGACTGATATTGGCAGCGAGCATCCGATCAAAATTAGTGAAATGGTAGGGGACTGAGACGGCTCGGCCGTCCGCACGTGAAGTAAGTTGTGGTGAGAGGATTGACTCCAGTAGAGCAATGTCCGATGGAAGGCATATGCCTTGACGGTCTTCTCGTTACTGTCGATGACATAATCAGTGGTGAACTTGCTGTAAACTTCAACCGAACTTCTTGACGTGCGCGGCCAGCCGGACGCCGCTCAGGGCGTGTTGATCCTCGCGAGTTGTCTCGCTTGTCGCTGCCTCTGCCTCAGCGGCCCTGCCGCTGGCTTTCAGCAGGTATTATACACAGATGAGTATCGATCCTTCAGTAAGGATACTCATCCCTCCTGCGCTGTTGGCTCTGAGGAGCCTGCTGGCCCCGAGTCTGCGAACGCAACTGGCGGTCGCCGGACATCTGTTGATCTTCTTCACCTATAACCTTCCTCCTAGGGGCCGGTTGTAGACCCGCAGGAAGTTGCTTGGGAATGTTGCTCGGCGCGATCGTATTGACCTGGGCCTCCTCGCCGGCAGCCCTCTGCACGCTCCAGTCGAAAACGTAGTCGTACTGGAAGCCCTCGCGAACGAACAGGTCACGGAAGAGCTTGCGGAGGTAACTGTAGTCAGGTTTATCGTCGAAGCGAAGAGCACGGCAGTAGTTCAGGAAGATTCCGAACTCGGAAGGGAAGCCCCGACAGAGCAGGTCGGTGGGAGTGGTCATCTTCTTTTCCATAATACGATCGTACTTCTGCTTCTTCGTCGCCGCCTTCAACCCCTGCCACGGCAATTGACCTCGGAGGAAGTACATCAGCACGTAAGCGAGGGATTCAAGATCGTCACGGCGGGCTTGCTCCACACCCAAATGGGTATTGATGCTAGTGTAACGAGCGGTTCCGGTGAGGTTCTTATTCTCTCTGTACGGAATGTGGAGGTGAGTTTTGGGATCGCGGTACTTCTTAGCGAGACCGAAGTCAATGACATTGACTTGGTTACCGCGCTTCCCAATACCCATGAGGAAGTTGTCGGGTTTGATGTCACGGTGGATGAAGTTGCGCGAGTGAATGTATTCGATGCGCGAAATGAGTTGATCGGCGAGAAGGAGAACGGTTTTGAGGCTGAACTTGCGGTTGCAGAAGTTGAAGAGATCCTCCAAACTCGGCCCGAGCAAATCCAATACCATGGCATTGAAATCGCATTCAGTGCCGTACCATCTCACGAAGGGAACTCCGACACCTCCGGCGAGCGTCTTATACACCTTCGACTCATATTCAAGTTGGGGATGCTTCGCCTTGACGGATTCGAGTTTAATAGCAACTTCCTCGCCGCTGATGATGTTCACGCCGAGGTAAATATCACCTGAAAAAATCCAGTCAGCATGCGCGAATCATAGAAAAGTAATAGTCATCTGCGCACCGAACGAGCCGGATCCGATCTTCTTTCCGAGCCTATACTTCCCACCGACTCGGAGATCCATCTTACTGTTTGGGTCCGCCAGGAGGGGCAATACAAGTTGGGGTGAAAGGGTTATGGAAGTATTTGGAGGGGAGACGAGTGAGGAGAGAGTTGATAGGGTAGCTGAGCAGCTTGTGGAGGCGTATGTGGTTGTTGATATGTTTGGGGGACGCGAATGGGAAGTCTATCGTGAGCCGCCAAGGGTTCAGTGCAGCTAATATATAGTATCAGCAAAGGTCGTGGAGAAGGTAAGGTGATAAACTGGAAGAGGTGCAAGGTGACACAAGAAGGGAAAGGAGCAGGTAAAAGAGGAGTCGACATGCGGTTGTCTTCCGTGCAAGCGGCATTTGTCAGCCTCGTGGCAGACACCACAAGCTTCCTACACTGTGGTGCACCCACTCTCCCTTCTACCCACAATGACACGCCATTCAGCGCGTACTGCGGCCTCCCAGCACCGCACGACGCGCACCTGCCTGTCGACATCCAATGCGATGCGGGAGTGATCCGAATAGGGTGTTGAAGCCGAAGGCGCAGGGCCCAACCAGCACGCCTCAAACTCCGCGAAACACGCTAAAAACAAATTGAAAAGGTGATGCGCTTACCTTGTTGCCGTAACGATGCCTTGTAAGCGTGCAAACAAAGTAATTTGATGATAGAGAGGAGGTTAGACAACGAGGAGGAACAGGAGGAGAGAAGCAAAGCAGGACAAGGCGTGGACAACTAGCAAAAGCGGACTCAACTGAGAATAGTTCCGAGTTCTTCACATTTGCATCCGTTCACTGCCCCGTGCCTTGCCGCCCTTGTCGGTAACCGGTGAGCAAAGGTCTCTTTCTCTCTTCGTCCACTGGGGAAGCCTCCCCATAAATCAACGGATCTTGCTCACAATGCGCCGATATCTTCATTGACGCAGCGCCTTATTATCTCTTGGCTGGGCTCTGTGGGGCGCAACACATGGACCTTTTATCGGTGACTGTCCCCTCTTGCCGATTTCTTGGATCTCTGCCCTGAGAGCTGCGCATCCACTTGACTACTCTTGAGAGGCACCAAATTCAAGCGCACTGTGACTGGTTTCGACCACCTTTTTGCAACGATTGTGATCTGCCAGCGAGGATGCGCCCATGCTATTGACTTACCGAGTTGCTGTGATTGGCTCTTATCTGTGTCATTTGATGCATTGAGGGGCAGTTGACGCAGGGGTGCTGGCCTTGGCGAGCCAATGCTGTATGTGCTATTCGTCTCCTCAGAGTGGCTATCATTTTTCTGGCTAGTCTGGTATGATAACATATTATCTCGTGATTTTTTTATACTTGAATATAATCAAAATTTATCTATTTTACCTTTAATGACAATAACAACTCAATTAATTCCTAATTTAAAAACAGTCTTTTTTATATATATTCTAAATTCATTTATATCAAAAGATAAATAATAGAATTATTTAAACCTCTACCTAAGTTTAATGCTTTACATCTCTATAAAATTTTATATAACATACTTTCTACAAAATAAGGTTTTATGTGTAATAAAACTTTATTTAATTCTTTTTTCTTATGTACATAGATAGACTATACGAAATAGCCTACAATAAACTTAAA